CCGTCGTCTCTATCACATAACCCCGTGTGGCTCGTTCCTCGCCGACGAGCGCGCGAACCCTCCGCCGCCGAGCGTGCCGGGAGAAACGCGGTCGAACGCAGAACCGACACGACCGGCCGAAGAAAAGCCTCCAGACGGAGATCCGAGTGTCCCGCGTTCTCCGCGTTCGTTCGTGTTCGCCGGTGAGTGTCTCCGTTTGTCCCCCGTGTGTGTCTCGGAAGCCGGAAGTTCGACGTTGAGAGAGAGTGTCGGTGTTTTCCGGTTGAAAGCTACGGGGCGAAGACAATCGAGAGAAGAATGATTAAGCAGCAAGAAAACGGGAGTTCCACGATGTACGCGATTCACGCGGTTTCGTCGATGGAAATGCACGCGCGCGACAGAGCCTTTTGACTAGCAGGGACACGGATCGTTCGACGTAATCCCTCGGGGCCCCGATTGGCCTCGTCGTCGTCGACGGGCCACGATTATGCACCTTATCCTCTAACATTAGTCATCTTAAATAGCGAACGATACGTATACGTATATGTACGTATACGTATGTGTATGTGTGTTTGTATATATATATATCTATATGTAAATATAAATATATATACATATATATATATGTATATATAATTTTCTATATCGTGTGTAATCGTCTTTCCGGCGAATCTCGATGCTCGAGACTTACGTACGGTTTCCATCGCCGTCGTTCAGCTTTGGTTTCGTCATTTCCCTGCGAAACGATCGTTCGTCCGATCGCTGTTTATCCCGGTGATTCCTTTCAATCCTCGAGGATGATCGTTCATTCGCTTTCGAATCGTTCGAGACGCTGCGTTCGAGATCGGGTAGCTTTATGATCTAACTGGACGTCTAGATTCGACGAAATCGTGCGATCGATTATTCATACACGACGAACAAAGGAAAATTCTGTTTCCGAATTGGTAAACGGTAATATTAATACCGTCGATTATTGAGGATGTTGATTAGTAATGGTTAATTTGACCGTTAAAACGACCGGGAACAGACGTGTACATCGGTATCTACGCGACACTAGAACTACCGATCATTTAAAAAGTTCTTATAGAAACCATAATAGAGTACTTATTAATATTCATTCATATCTATTGTCTCCTCGACAATTTCGCAAAGAAGCTATTGAAAAGATGTCCGACATTCGCGAAAGAAGTGAAGAATGGGAATTTTCCTTCCCACCCGGTAGTTCTAGCGTAAAACCAAAACCACCTTGTTTCCCGTCGCATTGCAACGATTTCGTCTTCACGTAGCGTTCAATTAGAACGTGTGCAGGACAAACCGTTAGGCAAATAACCGCGGAGTAAAGTGTACGATGTAACGGGTGGCTCGTTCGGCTCGGACGAACGCGTTTCTACTCACGGACGCGAGCTGTTCTCCCGACTCGTAAAACCGGCCAGCGGGTAGTTCAGCTTCAGCCCTGACCAGTCCCTCGTATCCTTCGACCGGATCGATCATCGATCATCCCAGGTCCGTTTGTTCTCTCTACGTCATCTGTTTCCCATTCGTCCTTTCTTCCTCCGACACACTCGCACACACACATACACACACACATAGACGCATACACACACGCACGCGTACACAGAGATTGTGCGCTGCCTCGCGTGTCATTCTCTCTCGCTTGCTCCGTTCGTCCTTTTCTAAGTCGAATCGATCGGGAAAACGCGAGGCACCTTCGCCGTTGGTAGCTTCGAGCCTCCCAGCTAGTGTCCTCTAGTGATTCTCCATTTTAAAATCGTCCCGAAGGTGGAACATATTTTTCCCTAGACGCGGCCGGGAACCGTTATTCCATTCAACGGAAAGCGGGTTCCTCGTTTCTTTTCAAATTCAACGAGCATTGTTCGCGACTCGAAGCAGCTGGATCGGACACGGCTCGAGCCCGAGATTAGAGGATCGTCCCTTCAGGGCTCGGATCGCACGAATTTCCCCCGTCCGCGCGTCTCAACTTGGTCAACTTTTCCTGTCTTCGCGATGTTCCCGGAGTAATCCTATGTTTCTAGTATAAGCGATTCTTTCTCTGTCTCCGCCATGTTTTCAACTGGCGGACAATTCGATTGCAAGGCAAAGAACCGGAGACTGTTGTCCTCCTTCGCGGCGATCCTGTATTTCTGAAATCAGGACCCCTTCTGTGCAGCGATCATCGTTTCGTTTCGGTCTCGGGGTAGCTTGAACCTAGCCGAAAACAGTTTCCTCGAGACTCTAGCAGCTCTCCTCTCTGTCTCCGCCGTGTTTCTAGCCAGTGGACAGTTCGATCGCGAGATAAAGAACCGAAGGCTACTGTTTCCTTGGTGTTTCTAACGTTAGGATCTCTCGGGATCGTCGTTTCTGATTTAAAACTGGATCGAGTAGCTTGAAGCTAGCTAAAAACACAGTTTCGAGACTTGAACAACTCTCCTCTCACTCTCTCTCTCTCTCTTTCTCTTACTCTCTCTCTCTCCGCCATGTTTCCAACCGTTGGACAGTTCGATCGCGAGGCAAAGAACCGGAAGCCGGTCGCGTGCCGCGCTCGCTCGTAGATCCTATCTCTCCCTCCGCCTCCAAGGTCCCTCGACGTCCCGTGTCGTTTCTCCCCTGCAGTTTCATCGATTCCCGCGTGCATATACATAAATCATCGGATATGTATGTACAAAAAGGGAGAGGCAACCAGAGAGAGTGAGAGAGTCAGAGAGTCAGAGAGCAAGACAGCGAGAGAAAGAGAGAAAGAGAGAGGCATCGAGCGACGATCACGCGAGCCTACCCTGAAGCAATCGTCGAAGGACCTCGCGCGTTCGGCCCAGCCCAGACTGAAAGACGAGTCTCGAAGCGGGTCGTGGACAAATTTCTGACTTCGCATTTTGCTTTCCACTGGAATGGAAATAGAACTGGAATGGATGAAAAATTTGTTCACCGTTCCGACACTCGCGCTTCGTCTCCGTTCGGACTGGCCTCTCTCCACGATCACGCGTTCGATCGTCCGACGGAGGATCGCTGGCCAGAGGATCCGAGGAGGGCCGGCGAGAAAGGAGAAAAATGATGAAATCGGAAACCAGACTGGAAAGATCCCCTTTCTCGCTCCTCTTCGGCGTCCTCGCGAGGGTCCTCAAGACGATCGGACGCCTGCACCGTGACCTACCTCATTCTTCCTGTACATCCTCTTCTCTCCGATCGCAAACAGAGACATACTCGCACACTCAATCTTTCACTCTCTCTCTCTCTCTCTCTCTCTCGCGCTCGCTCTCCCTTTTCAGCAGATCCATCTATCCGAGATACACAAGAAGAAGAAGACACGTTGGTCCGCCGATACCGATGACAGCTCATCCGGTCAGGTCCAATTCTCTAGATCCTCCATCTTCCAGCGCAGGAGGACACGTTGGCCTACACCGAAGACAGAGCTTATCCGAACAGGTTCGATCTTCTGGGTCCTCTACCTTCCAGCAGAAGACACGTTGGCCCGACACCGACGAGAGATCGTCCGATCGGGCCGAATCCTGTAGATCCTGTCTTCCAGTCGAAGACACGTCGGCTGACGCCAACGGACGAGGCTAATCGGATCAGACCCAATCTTCGGAACCCATCTAATCGGAGCGCAACGGGTCCGGCCGATCGTTCTCCAGCTTGTTCCCCCGACGCGTCTGCTTGGCCGCCGTCGCCGCGGCAGCGTTCCCGGGGGTGGAGGACGAGGAGGAGGAGGAGTTAGCCGCCAGACTCCTCATCACCATCCCGTAGCCGGCGAGGAATCGGCGCGCGTGCACCAGGTTGTTGTAGGTCTTGCCAGCCGCGTGCCTCATTTCGGCCCTGTACCGGTTCGCCAGGCTGTTGATCACCGTGTCGACTTGGAGATGGTGGGCGTTGGTCTGGTGTTGCTGCGGATGATGGTGGTTGTACTGGTGTAGGTATTGGTGTTGGTTGTGGTAGTGGTAGTTGCTGCGATGGTCGGTCTTCTTCTTGTTGGAAGCATACGCGGCGGCCACGGCCAGCGCCATCACGCCAGCTGGCGTCTTCGGCACGCCGGGCGCGGCGAGAGCCGTCGCCGTGTTGCTGGCACTCGTCGACGTCGCCGCAGTGCCGCTCGCGGACACTGCCGACGACTCTTGTTGACTTTCCGGTTGTCGATCCTCTTCTTCTTCCTTCACGTCCTCCGATCGTTGATGGTTCTGCTGTTGTTGCTGCTGCTGTTGGTTATCGTCCGGTTGTTGGTGCTTGGCTTTTGGCTTGGTAGTGGTGGTGTTGTATTGCTGTTCTTGCTTGTCCTACGCCTTGTTGCTCTTGTTCGTCTTGAAGCTGACCTGGAGCACCCGGTTACCGAGCGTGTAACCGTTCAGGCTCTGGATCGCGACCACCGCCTCGTCGTAGTTGGTCATCGTCACGAAACCGAAACCCTTGCACTTGTTCGTCTGCAGGTCCCGGATCACTTTGACCGACTGGACAGCGCCGAACGGGCCGAACAGCTGCCACAGCACGTTCTCCTCGGACTCCGGCGCGAGGTTGTACACGAAGATGCACCAGCCGGAACCGTTCACCGCGTTACCCTGCAGCATCGAGTTCGCCAGGAGATCGCCTGCCAGTGGGCTGTACCTGCAACAGTCCCGTGCAACCGTGAAAACGCTCGTCGCTTGCTCGTACCTGTCGGGACCTGATTGCAGCCCGATCGGGCTTGATCGATGCGGTAGCGACGCTGTTCGTGGGTTCGCGAGCAATCAATCGAGCTCGTTACTAGTGACAATGACTTTCGGCTTGTTGGATTGTTCATCTGTCGAAGTGATTCTCTCTACGAAAATGTTTAAGGATCGAATCAAATTCTATTGCTGGAATACCAATTAACCCTTTGCACTCCACAAGTTGTTCACCGGAAATATTCAATATTTTCTAATGAGACAGAGACGACATTTTGTGAGATTGAATTGAGAAATCTCACATGCATCGAGGAAAACTATTTTCTTTCAATATTTCGTACACTGATGCATTATACAAAGTTTACAGCTTTGCTGTGTCAAATCATTTGGCGACTTAGAGGCGCCTCTGGAGTGCAAAGGGTGAAACACTGTGGCTATTCAAATTTCAAAGAATTTCAAACGTGGAATTAGTTATGTAATTATAGGAATTACACGTTTTCTGTATATTCCTCGCTAACGAAGAAATTTTCGCAAGTGCAAATTGACCATAGCAAAATATTCATATTTATATACTGATTACTAATATTCATGTCCCTATGTTTAACCCTTTCCACTCCAGGGGTGCCTCCAAGTCACCAAATGATTTGCCACAGCAAAATTGTAAACTTCGATATTTAATATTCAATTTTGTACAATGCATCAATGTACAAAATATTGAAAGGAAATAGTTCTCTTCCTCGATGCATGTGAGATTTTTCAATTCAATCTCACAAAATGTCATGTGTACCTCATTAGAAAATATTGAATATTTCCGGTGAAAAACTTCTGGAGTGCAAAGGGTTAAACTTTTCAACACTCTATCTACCAAAAAGATTCAGAAATCGTATCTCCTTCTCTCCAACGAATACTGTGTCTAAATCTTTTTTTAAAACCATCCTCATCGCGATTATGCTACCTTTTATTATACGTTTCCACTGTATCGGTAACGTCACGCATTCGCGAACCCACGTTATCGCTCCCCGTATCGATCGATCACGATAACACTGCTCCGTGAACACCGAACATCCGCACGATACCAATTTGCACTGTTGAGGGAACATCGTGCCAGCGTGTATCGTCCGACGACGTGCCGGTGGATCGTCGCGGAGACGAAAAAGCACAGTGACAAGGAGGATTTCGGGCCCGAAATCCTCGACCATCGAAGTACTCGCGCAATTCCAGGCCGTGGAAGCCTCGAAACCTCTGAATCGCTGAGCCGTTTCACGCGAGACGCTCGACAGATCTCTTATCAACGATCCTCGAATTTTATCAACGTCCATTCGACTAGATGCAACGAGGTTTAACCGTTCGAACAACGATTATCAACAATAAACACGATTAATCTGAGTAATTCGAAGTTCAAGATACTTCGAGATACTTGGAGATACTTGGAGATACTTCGAGATTGTCGAAACAATAAGATATAGATTGCTGAAAATGTTTAAAGATATTTCAACTGAATTCGATAGAAAAGATACACTGAAACTCGCGGAACGTTGACAAGATTTCCAAGTTTCCGCTTCAAGCAGAACAAAAATTCACTCGGAATGGAAAGCGATCGAGATACTCGAAGAACATACGATTACCTGGTTCCTCGTTTGGAAATTTCCTGTCGAGATCGGTCGGCGTCGCGCGCGAAACGGCTCGGAGCGCCGGCTCGAGAGCTGCTCGGGCGAGGTAATTAAAAACAAAACGCTACTGCCTCGTTCCGACGAACACCAGAAAATGAAAATAAGAAAGAAACGCGAGAATCGGAAGGAAAAGAAAAGGGAGAGAAGAGGCAACGCCGTGACCCGTCGCGTAACGGCGGGAACAAAAATCGGCTAAGGCATGCAGAACTCTGGGAACTGAACGAAAATAACGACGTTTCGTTGGATTCTCCAATTTCAACGGGCGTCTCAGAGGGTGGGCCGAACGTGGGATCGAGAAACGAAAAGGGCGGAACGAAAGAAAACGGGGAAATCGGGCGGCATGCGTCGCTGGTTCGTCGATGATCGGCATGCAACGGGTAAGGGTGAGTTCACGCTGTCCGTGTGGACACGTGATGTTTCAATTTAGGCGAAGGTTCTCGTTGGCAACGGGGGGAAACCGTTTGCATGCGGCGTTCCGCATCCGTTCAGACACGTTGTGCTTCGAATTTTCAATGGATCGCGTAAAAATTTAGGTCGACTGCGCTTCAACGCGATATTACCGGGAATTAAGGGGTTGACTGGTGACTGGTCAGCAAGGAAAAGTTTTTAACCCTTTGCACTTCGTTGGCTCTGCTATAGAGACATAATTTGCATTACAGATGTCATGTTACATTAATTGCAAGTTGTTAAATTCTTCCTGCTCGAATATGGGAAATGGACAGAATGAATTAAAAGATGTGAATGCATGTATACTTGTAATTTTCCTTTTTCAAAACGAAATTTCAGGTTGTTGAACGTTTCTCTGTAGAAATGAACTATTGAGGCGTTTGAAATGTTCGGAGTGCGAAGGGTTAGAGCTTCTTTAACGAGAAATTCTTAATTTCAAACGACAGATCGTTACGAGACTAATCTTTCGAAGCAAATATTCTAATCTTTATCTCTGTCTTGACGTCATCGTGGCGATTGGATTGCAATTTTCTTCACTTTATGCGAGAAATTGTTAAATACCGGCAGTGTGATCAATTTTTAAAACTTTCACGAGAAATTCTTAATTTCAAACGACAGATCGTTACAGGACTAACATTTCGAAGCAACTTTTCTAACTTCCGTCTCTATCTTAACGTCATCATGGCGATTAGCTTAAGATTTTCTTCATCCTCGCAATGAGTACTGCGAAAGCGGAAAATTTGGTGCATTCTGCGACTGACGGTAGAAACAGGATGTTCGTCTGAATCGAATAGTTACGTGTCTGAAGGGACAATACGAACGCAGCCTGGAAACGGGCGGTGAATTGGAAGCTTGCAGCGAGGTATTTACAGATCGTAAAAATATGTGTATCTACGTACCTAGTTGACGTCACAAGCCGCGTTAAAAACAGGGCACATCTGAGTAAGTATTCGGTACAGTGCCGGCGGGGGTGCGGGAGGACCGGGGGGAGTGACGCGGTAATTACGCGCTCGTTATGGGACGCGGGTTTCGTAGGCGGGATGCGCGAGCGTGTGATCACTCGACTGCGGATATTCGTGCGTCTTTGCTTGTTTTTTCCCCAGAAGAGTCAACAAACGTTGCAAACTTCGATTCAACTTGCTTTTGAAACATTCTTAGTGTACACTGAATCAATGGTGAGTTACTTGCACAAGGAAAACGAGAGTAGAAGTTACAACTGTGACTGAACTTTGAATTTAAATGAAAATTGATATTGCGTACCTCATTCAAATTGAATCAATGATAAGTTACAAAGAAACACGAGGTACACGAATACGAAGATATCCGAAGTCTTGTTGCGTCTTTATCACTAGACTGCGGATTTTTAATATATCCTTTCAAATATTTTCTTTCAGAATATTTGATCCTGCTCCTTTCCATTTGCGACTGCTTTAACCCCTTGTCCTACAATAACGAGTGAGACTCGTGAATATATATATATTTGTTGAATCATGTTGTAATATATATATTACTCAGTTCATTCGAATGCAAAGTGAACATTATTCCCATGTAATCAACTATTATATTTCAAAGGAAATATAGGCGTAACATATGCTTAGAACTTTTCTCTTTTTTCAGTAAATTATCAATGACAAAGTAGCCATATTGATCAGAGTTGAGAAAGAAATCATAGGCCAAGGGGTTAAGCGAGAGTTCAGTTCGAACAGATCGTTAGAATACTAATATTTCGAAACGAATATTCCAAATTCTGATTTAGTGTCATAAATTTGTGGTGATTTAAGATTTTCTTTAGTTTCACCGGTAATGAGTATTCGAAAGAGATTCGGTTACGAATGTGTTAAGGGTTACTAAACAGTAGGGCAGTTTATATTTCATTGTGAAATAGAATATTTTATTGCAGTCTACCTGTTCCTTTGAAATTCGTTAATTAACTACGTTCAGAGAAATTCGAATTCGCACGAAGATCCGCAATCCAGTTGTCACGACCGAACACTGTACAAAGGGTGAACGTTCTTTCCGGACTCAACCCCTAACGCGACGACTCTGCCCGGCCGGCGGCGATCCATCGATCGTCGGCCGATCGATTGGAACCGCCGCAGTCGGTGCCATTAGAAAATAGAATCGACGAGACCGCGCTCGCCGCTGAAAGGTCACCATGTCGGGTTAAGGGTTCAGTCTTCTTCTTTTTCCTTCTTTCATTGCAATCGATACTGTTGGCGGTTGCAGAGTGAAATGTTGCTATTCTCGCGGTCAGAGCCGGGCAAAATTGTCGGTGGTCGGACGAACGACACTCGTTTCCTGCATAAAACACGAGAAACTTGTCTCGCGGAGTTCACGCGGGGACACCGATTTTATAAATGTCCCGTCGTTCCATAAGTAATGTCGTTTCCTATTTAACTCTGCCAGACAGCTTTTAATGCCATTTGGAAAGTGACGGTAAAAGATTGACCGGAATAGGAAGATAATACACAGTGATGATCGATAACGTCGACGACTTAAAGGGAATGCTGGTATTTACTTTTTTTACGTCAGTTACCATGGAAAAACGACGTTGTTTGTGGGACGACCTAATTAGCTTGAGTCTAAGATATCCTCACTTATCAAGTGTCGCTTCAAAATGTACTTGAACACGAAGAATTTTCTATGCCGGGCCAAATGTTACGAGAATCGTTCGTGAACCTTTTCAATGCACCAGAAATGCGTGAACGCTTTGATCGCCGAGAATATTCGATTGCAACGTGATAATCATTCAGTTTCGTCGAGTAGCGTGTTCATTCACGAAGATCAAGGTTTCATTGTTTATAAAAAAATGGCAGAATTGAAATCGAAATGAATTGAAGAGAAAGGACTCTGCTACACCAATTTCATCAATGATTTCCTTCGATTTATAATTTACATTTACTGACACGCATGATTCTCGTTCGAGCGAACGATCACTCCTACAAAACGCAGCGATCAAAGTGTCACGGGATGCAGTTCCGACCATTTTGCTCGTCTCTGGCAGCGGACAACGATCGGTCTCGTCCGTCGACGAGAGGAACTGACGTGCCGGTGCGTCCTCTCTGAACGGCGATCGAGTGCGGTTTACTCTTGCATTGTGCGCACCAACGACAAGTGTAACTCTCTATACAATCGGGCAAAGATTTACATGATTGCTCGGCTGCGGGAGATCGTGCACCTGGGACAACACTCGGGGCAAATCGGTGGTGGACTTCGACGACGAGGAAACACGGATCTGGGTCTGGAATTTTCGTGACGTGTACAGAGTGTCTCGCTTTTGCGCGAATGACGGCTCGACGAGAGATAACTCTTCGATAACCTATCGCAGCAACGATGCAAATTGACGATTATATTGAGAAATATGTAGAAAAATGCCTTAATGCGAACGAATACGTTACAAACTTCTGGCAAAATGACTGGTTTCGATTTTTTGGTTTAGTGATATCCTAAGCATTGAATATTCGAAATGATTTTGGAAATAAATAGTTTCATTTCAGTACTATACTGAATGTCTAAAGAAACTGAGAATGATCTGCTGTTGCAATTTTTACAGGAATTGCATATTAATCGTATTAAATGCTCGGTAGTTCTAGTGTTGATTATACTTGATCGACTGAATTCTACAGAATTTCAATGAACTAAGTGAATCTTTGAATATCGCCGATATTTCTGATAATTTTGGAAGTCGTGTGATATTAAAGAGCGTTAAATACCAACGATCCGATTAGAATTTCGATCGTGAAGAACAGTTTCAACATTGAATGGGCTCGAGAGATTCTTGCCTGACCATAGACGTGACGCGACTACTTGCAGCACCGAGGTTAGACTCGACTTTTCTCGATTTAACGCGTCGAATTCTTGTTCGACGAATTACTTATAGACTCGAAATAATTTTAAGGAAATGGGAACTGAACAGACTTTCCATACATAACACTGAAACAGTGTATTTATCGAGATCTTCATTGGCTTCATTTCACATCGATTACGAAGTCGATTTAGTCATTTTTCCGAGAAACCCTTGCATCTCAATCATTGTAAAAGAAACAATTAGGAAGAAGTCATTTTGACCTGTCTAGTGGCTAGAAATTCTTACGTATTGATTATCGGTTCAATAAACAGTTCAACTGTCGGTAGATGACACGTTAACCCTTTGAACTCTGGGCTCCAATATTGCACCAGTTATAATATCAAATATTTCAATGAATCTCAAAGAAACTACCCTAAAATTCTTCGATTTTCCACACATCCAAATTTCCTACTGAGAAGTAAAATAAAAGATCGAGAAAATGTTACAGCATTTCTCATCAAAAATTAGTTGCAGTTGCTGATAGATTACAAATCAACCCGGAGCGCCAAGGGTTAAGACCAGGCGACGTTCAATCGAGACGCTCTGTACATTCGCGAGGGTAACACGCGACAGCTGATTGGTTCCCGTTGCTTCGAGATCGGTGCACGGTCCCCGCGGGCCGAGCACGACCGGTCAAGGCAGAAGACAACGAAAGATCAGAGAAAGAGCGGTAAAAATCGAACCGAGGAGAAACACAAGGGGGTAGAAAAGAACAAGAAGAACCAGAAGATGAAGAAGAAGAATAAAATGCTAGCCAGTCGAGGGGAACGCGGTGGGAACGAAAAATCACTGGGATCTGCCCGATTTCTCCGGTCCGATCGTGCCGATACTCGGGATCCGTCTGCACGCTCGGTGACGCGCGAACCAGGGGATCTGCGACGAGGGAACTGTACTCGACGGTGATCGATCGACGCTTTGACGTTTCCGCGTCGTTCTCTCGGAGGAGACCAATTAAACCGTCAGAGACACTGTAATTACTAGACTGCGGATTTCTGTGCGTCCACGAGACACTTCGAGGAACATGGAAGCGAGGAAATATAAAAAGTATGCGAATCATCAAAAGTGCAGCGGTTTTTATAATATTTCAGAGAAACTATTTAATCTTTGTGATTCTATTTCGCTGATTAGGTTCCGAAGCACTTGAATTCGCATAAAAATTCGCTGTCCAGCTACAGGAGACTAAGGTTCGAATTTCAACCCTTTGCACTCGAGAATATTTTTCTCAATATTCATTATTTCCTGATGAAATATCAATGATACCTTGTTTGAATTAAGTAACAGAACTATTTTATTTCGATGTTCCACGCGTTAATGCATTACAGAAAAATTTAACACTGGATTTTAAATTTTATCATTTTCATGGGTCAAATTGAATGACTGAAAGGCGCCTCTCGGGTGCGAAGGGTTGAACCGTTCACAACCGGAAGCCATCGTCGACCTTTCTCCGAATATTTTTGCGAGGATAAGGAAGCGTCGTCAAACGGCGAAGCGTCGAAGCTGAACGCGTTGCGAAGGCGAGCCTCGAGTCTCGAAGAGAACGAGAAGAGAGACGGGGGACCACGCGAGGAGAAAAGAATAACAGCAGAGTACCGCGACAGAGGGGATCGAACAGAATCGAGAAGAAACCGAGTCGCGAAGGATGCCTCGCGTTTTTCATGCCTGGATACGTGTATCGATTGGGGGAACGGGAGAGCCGGGCGGAGAAACGCTTCAAGGCTGACGACTCGAGAGAAGAATCGTGGAGCAGCGACGAGAGAGAGAGAGACAGACAGAAAGGGAAGAGAAGAGAGACAGACAGAGAGACAGAGCGAAAACAGAAAGGAAGAGAGAGAGCGAAAAATTTCATACAGAACAACGGGGGAAGCTTCAGCGTCTTCGTCGAAGAATCACGAAGATCTCGTCACGAGGAAAGATACGAACGGAAGACAAAAGAAATGGCATCGACACACTGTTCTTTCTACTCGAAGAAATCTATTTTCAGTGTAAGTGCGCGTTTCCCATGAATATCGAACGTCGACAACGAAAAAGGGAGGAACGCTACGTTTCCGTTCGAAAAATCGGGACTAACGCTTTGAGGATCGATCGAGGATCGAGAACGTTCAACCGGAAGGAACTGATGGAAGATACGAAGGTTGCGAGGAACAGGAAACTGCACCGAATGTTTCTTATTTAACACTAGGTTTAGTGCACTAGGTCAATTTGACGCGTGTTGGATGTTATAGACACTGTTTGGTATATATTTACGTCGACTTTGATGCAATTATATCAATATGTACTTTGATTAACTATTTTCAAATCTCTAACTTCTAAAATCTGAAAGAACGAAGATGAATTTTTCTAGGAGTAGAATGAACCGCACAAATTTCCGTAAACCTAGTGTTAAACGGCGAAGCGAGATTACAGAGCACGATTCTACATGGAGTACATTCAGACAACAGAGAAGTAGAAAAACTCCCTTCGAACAACGAATCTGCAACGTTCGATTCTAAACGCGAAGATACTAACGGTACGAAGGAATTCATCCTCGAAAGGGTTAACAGGGGAAATACGAGAAAAAACGAAAAGACACTACAAGTGGAGGGTGTCGGGGAAGAGGGCGGCAGTGTTCCATATGAAATTTTGTCGAGGTCACGCGTGCGGTCAGGGCACAGAAACGAAGCCACACCGACAAAGAGAGAGAGAGAGAGAGAGAGACAGAACAAGAACGAGAAACGTA